CCAGTCACCCAGACAGGCAGCTGTGGCTCCAGACAGAAAATCACAGACAATTCCACATCTCCTGGCAGTGGGACACGAGTGTACCAGCAAATGCCACTCTGGAACATTTCTGATGCAGAGCAGCTGGCCCGAGACTGAAGCTTTTCACAGTTTTGTCCTGTTTCATATGCCTGGGAATGATCTTTGATATTTCAAAACATTTTTATAAGCTCCCCAGGGGAACAGCATCTTCTCCATCCCACAATTTCCAGGCTGTGCCTTGCACGGATTGTACACGTGCTCCTGGAAAGCCAGTGGAAATATTTGACAAACACAGCAAACAGCCAATCTCACTCTGTTTTCAACCCCACATCCAGCAACAACCACATTTTCACATCTATAACCCACACACTGCAGATTAACAACCACCCCAGCTCCTGCTTGGGAGCAGGGCAGGTTCCCCACTGAGTTTCTCCTCGCTGGTGACCTGTTATCTCCTTGCCCATCCTTCCCCATCGAGGACCGCAGTGGTTGTTGGATCCACAGCCTCTTTTGAAGCAAAAAATCCAGCGCTCTCAGGAGGTGGGTGTTAACTGAGGGTTTACTCGCAAGGCAAAGCGTGGGTACCTCGGGGCGGTGAACCCACAGACACCTCCCATGTTTGGCTTTACTTAAGTGACTCATTTCACTGACCTCACCAGCACCAACCCCTATTTTCCTTAATGACCACATTATATAACAATAATAGTTCAACCGCTGCAAATGGGAGCTGCTGTCTCCATTTTATCTGTTTACAAACTTCAATCATCGAACGCCGGGTGCGCACACGATCAGTCAGAAAGCTCTGAGCTTTCCCAGGGAAGATGAACGCTTCTCCAGCGTGGAGAGAGGTTATCTCCTCTTTAGCAACCAACATATGTCAGCTGGGAGACAAAGACCAACCCCATTCCTCATTTAGGAAAAGCTGCGGCACAAAAACTTCACACTGCTGAAGGAATAAGGATTCCTGGGCCTAAGCCACAGGGAAAGAGACTTGGCTTAGACATCAGGACAAAACGCTTCAGTTGTGAGGACAGATGAGGACAGGAGGAAAGTGCTGAGAAGGGAGATAAAAAGCTCCAGCGATGGAGATTTTTAAGAAGAGATTAGACACCCTTGCGCTGGGGACAACAGGGTAGAGCTGAGCCTGGAGCTCCGTGTTTCCTGCAGCTCCGTTTCTGTACGGATCTGCGTATATTTTCAATGCAAATGAGACTTTGTCTGAGGGCTGGGACGTGCGCTAGCAAGCACGTAGCTCCCTGGTTTTAATCCGTGGCTGGAAGGGTACTGCAGGTCTATCAAAGAAAACCCGGCTCACACACCCATCTGCACACAGCTCATGAGATCTCCGCCTCCCTCTGCTCCCCCTGATGTCAGCATGATGCTGGCACAGCCTTGAATTGCGAGGACTGGGATGCTGCCTTTGTATCTGTCATAGCTCAGCTTCAAAACAACCACCTCAGGCTTTAATTTGTGGGCTGGGGAGACTCTCTACTTTTTTTTTGGAAGGTGGCACACAAATCTCCCTCTCCAAGAGGAGAGCTTGACATTAACCAGACCTGCTGCTTGTCCATGGATTAGGCTTTATTTTTTATTCCCAATTCTCATTCCGTCATCATTTGCTTACGTGTTACCCACGTGGCAGGCAAACAAAAGCCTTGAAGAAACCAGTTGTTTCTTCAGTTGTTAAGGTCGTTGCTATAATATCGGCACCAAATCTGACCCAAGAGGTTTTGTCTGCTTGCAGGAAACAAGAGGAAAACTTACTTTTCATCTTCTTATTTCAGTTTCTGAGGACCAGGACACAAAAATGTCAATCAGCATCACTGGTTCCCATCAAACAGGGGAGTGGGGAAGAACAAATAGCTGCAGATGAAAGCTTTTAAACTGGATCTGCTAATGAAGCAGTAATTTATAACTCCTACCATAAACAGGGGGAAATCAGTAACAGGGCTGGAATTTAGTCCAGAAACCAACCATGTCCTGGGGGCATCCCCAGCAGCGTGAGCAGCAGGCCGAGGGAGGGTATTGCCCCCCTCTGCTCCGCTCTGGTGAGACCCCCCCTGGGGTGCTGCCCCCAGCTCGGGGGTCCTCAGCACAGGACAGACACGGAGCTGCTGGAGCGGGGCCAGAGGAGCCACGGAGATGGTCCGAGGCTGGAGCAGCTCCCGTGCGAGGACAGGCTGAGAGAGTTGGGGGTGTGCAGCCTGGAGAAGAGAAGGCTCCGGGGAGACCTTCCAGCACCTTCCCGTGCTGAAAGGGGGCTGCAGGGGAGGTGGGGGGGGTCTGGGGTAGGGGGGG